GAGTCTTTGTGAACGGGTGCTTTCAAGAAGTTTGTTCAATCCCATGAACGCCTTGCTGGACTCTAAACCCCCGCGCCGGCAGCACATGGAATCTGAGCCGTATCTGCAGGGCCCTTGATGATCCTAAGCCCTCTCCTGCCCTTGCCCTTGCCCTTACCAGCTTGCCAGCTTGCGCGCTTGCCAGCTTGCCAGTTTGCCAGCTTGCGCGCTTGTCCGCTTGCCCGCTTGCCGCTTGCCCGCTTGCCCGCTTGCCGCAAGCCCGCTTGCCCGCTTCCCCTTGCCCCCTTTCCCTCCCGCCGTTGCCCTTGCCCTGCCCCTGCCCCCTGCCCCTGTCAGGTTTTCTTGGCAATTTGGGGTTCAGGGTTTTTTCCGATTTTAAACGGGGTTCAGGGTTTTTAGGGTAGGGTCTAGGGTAACCATGTTGGCCCCAAGAGCAACTAAGCTTCTGGTACATAGTTGAAGGTTTATTGGCTGTAAACTAAACTTTTCAATTTTCCAGGTTCTTATAAGGTGGTCGATTCTGAAAGTTGCAACTTTTATTTCCTTGGGTTTTGGGCCAGCGAGAAGGTTAAGATTTGAGGGTAGCCGCAACAGCAAAAGCCGGGTTGGGTCCCTGAAGCTGCGGAGTTTCGGATCAAGGCCCGATTAAGGGTCCTACTTGAATGATCCTGGGACTTAGTAAGTAGGGTTCCTTAAAAGGGCTCCTTTAAAGGGATCTGTAGGGGTTCCTTAAAGGGATCTATAGGGTTTAGGATTTGGGGTCTACTTGAATGATCATGGGACTTAGTAACTAGGGTTATAATTAAGGTAACTAGACTTATACTTACTTATAACCCCAGTTAAGGTACTTATAACCTAACTTACTAAGTCCCCTGATCCTCCAAGAAGGGCTAGGCTCATCGTAGGCTAATCGAGCAGCAGATGCAGTCATACCGTAAACACCCCCCCCCTTTAGGGTTTAGGGTTTTGGGTTTAGACCCCCCAAGCCCTCACAAATTCGGGGTCCTTTTTTCTAGGGTTCTAGACCCTGAATCCTAAACCCTAAGCCGTCCCCGAGCAGAGGAGTATGCAAGGAAAACCAAGCAGATCGAGACTCAGGTGCTGCGGGCTTCAGGGCATGGGCTTAGGCGCGAAACCCCACACTCCAAGCCCCCTACAAGTAGGAGGGCGGCACCTATAGCGCTTATAATATACTTATAAACAACTTGTCGGGCCATAGGCTTAGGCTCGAAACCCTGCACCCTAAACCCCCTCAACCATAAGCCCAAAGCCCTAAGCCCTGAACCCTCAACCCAAAGCCCCCTGTTTGGGTTTTTTGGGGCGGCGAGCCCTGTTGGGACTCTGGTTGTATAGTGGCAACTCAGCTGAGTCGATTCGGGTGAAGAGAGTGGTGTTGGGGCTTGTGCGAAAGTTGAGTGTGCGTTGAGTTTTGGATGTCGGGTTTGGGGTGTTTTGTTTAGGGGTGTGATCTGGATTTCAGCAGATCTGATGGGAGGTTTCAGATTTGGTGGTGTCGCTCTCAGAGATCTCCGTGCTCCACAACTTGAAACATAGCACCGGTTTGGGATGTGTTATTCTTACGAGGCTCCTACAACCGTAAACTTAAGCCGTACGCCTCGAGTCTCGTGAGTATTGCCGTCCGAACACATCAGGAAACTTATTCTTGCACCCCGAAACCCTACTCGAATGATTGAGGCCGGTACAGTAGCTGCCCAGCTCCTGCTTTTGATGGGTGCAGGCTGCCATTGCGCGGTCGACGGCCATCAACCGGTCCGGGATCCTGACGTTCAGGTTTACCAGGGCGTCGGGGATTTGTGAAAGCGGCTTATCCTGGATGGATTTCGGGTGTAATTAGGGTTCAGGGCTTGAGGGGAGGCAAGCCAAACCTTAACGCCCAAAGCTTCAAGGGGGTTTGGGTTTGGACCTGTTTTTCGAGAAGCCCCCACGTTGCAGCAGGCATGGAGCCTAAATCAGCCCTCTCCCCGTTACAACCCCCTTCGCTCCTGCGGATCTCGGACTTGGCAAGATTAAGTATCCAAAAAGGGACATAGGTTCTCGTAACCCACAAAGCGATGGACTGTAGACCACCGCATGTCTCTCTCTCGCTCTCGCTCTCGCTAACCAATTCCCCAAATTACAAACCCGTCTTCTCGGCTACAGGTAAGGCCCTGTCTCCCGAAGCAAAGGGTCAGCCAGCCTTGAGGTCGCGCCTGGAAAAGATTAAGAGCCGGCAGGACTGCGGGGGATCAGAGTTCAGGACTTAGGGTGTTGCGTTTGGGGTTTAGGGTTTGTGGTTTGGAGGAGTTTGAGTTTCACAGCTTCAGGGTCAGGGCGTTTGGGGCGTGGGGTGTAATCTAGAAGCCTGAATCATTTTCCAGCACTGTTCTTTGGGGTTCCGTAACAGAATTACTCCATAATGAGCCCCCAAAACCTGCGAAGTACCAAGGCTCCGAAGCTAACCCCCCTCTAAAACACGGGAAAAATCTGATTATAGGAACCCTGCAGCGCCCTTCTTCATTTTTTATTGGAAGTCTTATTCCAACTCTTATAAGGCCTCCTAAATCATATAATATCACGATTTGAAGCTTGGGGCTTGGGGTTTTGCAAGTCGGTGTAAGTTACCATCAAAAGCCATGAGAACCCCAAATTTCGACACCCAAATACCTACAAGAAAACTTAAAAACACAGCGACTCATGCGGGCCAGGAGATGCTCAGCTTCATAGACCCAAACCTCAAACCCTAAGCCCAAACATTCTGAAGCCCTAATGGTTTAGGGTTTAGGGGTTTAGGGTTTAGGGGCCCTAGCGCCCGAAACCCTGTAACCCGTGATCCTCCTGCAGGCCACAAGCTGCACAGCTGCAATTGAACGCGACAGTGCACAACCTTGAAGCCGGTTTAGGGTTTAGGGTTTAGGGTTTAGAGTTCAGGGTTTAGGGTTTAGAGTTTAGGGTCTAGGGTTTAGAGTTTAGGGTTTAGGGTTTAGGGGCCCCCTCTAAAATACACCTAGAATTAGAACCCCATGAGCTAGCAGCCGAAGAACCCAAGCTTTAAACGATTAAAACCCTGGACCCAAGCCCCAAACCCTGTAAACTGCATCATCACCTTCTTCTTCGTTCTACTACTACTACGACGACGACTACTACTACTACATACGACGACTAGTACTACGACTACTACTACAACTACGACAACGACGAAGACTACTACGACGACGACTGCTCCTACTGTTAAGTACAAATGGAAAGAACCTCGCCCTGAAGCTTTGCGCAGCCTCAATTAAGCCCTAAACCCTTAAACCCGAAACCCTACATCCTGAACAGGAGATGCTGACAAAGCTGTCCGAAGAGTCGCAGGCGCAGCTGGTGGAGAAGCTGAAAGCCCAGGCCATGTTGTTTAGGGTTTAGGGTTTTCGTTTGTCCAGAAACTAAGGGTTTGGGGTTAAGGGTTTAGGATTTTGGAGGTTTAGGATTTTGGAGTTTAGGATAGAAGCTTGAATAATTGGTAACTTCTTCCTTTTCCTCTCTATCATAAACATACCACAGCATACTATTTTTCGTATTAAGGCCCCCATATATTTTCTTGTCTTATGAAGAAAGTTTAAGGTTTGGGATTTAGGGTAGTTTCTCACATGTTGAGGGCTTAAGGGTTTTACGGTTGAGGTTGTGGGCTTAGGGCTTTCGAGTTTTAGGGTTCAGGGTTCGGCGGGTTTCGGTGTAAGGGTTGGGGGTAAGGGACAGAAGCGGTCCTGCAGGGGCCTTAATACTTGCCTAGTCTACTTTGGGGGTTCCTTGCTCAAAAATTGGTAAAATGGGCCCCTAAACCCTAGTCTAATTGATAAGGCCCTTAAAAAAATCATGCAGCCTTACGCTTCACACTCTCTTACCCTCCGAAGCTGACAAGGTAAATCCAGCTACGCTTGCACGATTTAACCCAGAGACTCCAATATCCCTTAAATTAAGGAATATTCCTTAAATCATATTAGGGATCCTATTATTTTTTAAGGAATATTCCTTAATTAAGGGATATTGGAGTCTCTGGGAAGCCTGGACAGTTTCCACCTGTATTCCGAGTTCCTAAGTATAAGTATGCTCCACCACACCATACCATACGCTACCATACCATACCCCACCACGCGCTACCGTACACTACAATCCCCCCCTTCCCAATTCCAGCTATTTAGGATCCATTGCGCCAAAATCGGGTTCGATGTCAATATTGCTGCCATACTTCGGGATTACTTAAGGGCTCAAGGGACTTCGTGAGAGGGTTTGCCTCAGGTGACCTATAATCCGACAATGACACCTCTACAGCCCACCCCAGGCGACCCACAAGCAGTTCATCACCAAGCTTATCGTGCAGGGCCTGCTGATGTTGCTGGAGGCCTGTTTCTGTCTAGGTCGGTTGTTGAAACTTCAAGCAATCTTAAGATCCGGCGTCTTGCGCTGCACTAGTTATCTGCTGCCACGGTATTCAATGGCTGACAAAGAAAACCCCTAAAGCCCTACGTCCTGCACGCCTAGACTCTTTTTGCCTCACTGCGCTCGCGAGGACCACGTGGAAGTCCGGTGTCGCAAATGTGACGAAGATGCGGGCTCAGCTTTTTTGTTGTGTCACCTTGAGACTTCAGGGATCAAGAGAGGGGTCACCGTACCTAGAGTCCTCCAATCAAGATCCGAAAGCCTAAACCCACGCCATACATCTTAAGACTCTTAGGATTGAAACCCCAAGGATCCAAGTGCCTAATAATCATATACTCTCCAAATCCTAACCTGCGTAACTACTATCCTAAAACCGACCCTGTGGACCCTTAGGGGAACCGTAGTGATGTGGAATTGAAGCCCTGGAGTGCTCTGCAAAGGTTTTCTGCGACATCGCGATCTTCAAGCTCGTTACTATAGGGGCCTGATGTATTAATTGCCTATACTATTTTGGGGGTCTCCTTTTTGCGATTATAGTAGAATGGGCCCCAAAACCCTATTCTAATTATTTAGGCCCCTACATTATATCCCCAAACGGCTGAGTTGTGCAAACGGAGGAGTTTGCAAGAGCTAGAGTTGTTTGGGTTTCAACTTTAACAACAGGTGAACTCCTCTTTAACTAGTAACTATAGAGTCCCTACACTGTCCTACTTGTCGAAAGCTTCGAAACTGAGCCCTAGAAGCCCATTGCCCTACACCACACACCCATACCTTATAGCCCAAGCTAGCACTCTGAACCCGAAAATGCAAAGCCGAAACCCTGAACACTACGCCGGCTATACCCTGCAACTAACCCAAATCCGTCAACCCTAAACCCTAAACCCCGAAACCCTAAACCCTGAGCCCTAAACCCCTAAACCCTAAACCCCTAAACCCCTAAACCCTAAACCCCTAAACCCAACAGCCAAGGCCTTAGTTGCCGAATGCCTCGATGGCGCTGTGAAGGAGTACACCGAGGCTACTCAGGGTGTAGGGTTGCGATATAGGGGTGGGGATGGTCAGCAATGGTATTCCTTGGCTTCCAAAAAACTGTTCAAGGACAGAGCTGCCAAAACCCTAGTGAAACTGTTCAGGCCTCTATATTGGGAGTTTGGTTTATGCGTTTTCGCTTCGAAAGGTCTGGGGCTGCAGACGTGCAGAGCTGAAAAGATGCGGGCCGGGTTCAAGAAGGGTTTTGGGGATCAGGTTTTATGAGTGGGGCGTGTTCGGGTCGAGGTTCCTGATTCAAGTTTTCTCAGTTCTGCCCTCGTCAGGCTGATTCCCAAATAATTAGATGAGCACGCCTCTTCTTGGGGGTTCGCTTGCTTTCATGTGCTACGAATCAAGGGATGCGGCGCCCTCCTCCGACAGTCTGGCTCCAGGGAAACCGTAAAACCTCTCGTTCGGCGTGGGTTCGCCCGGTGGCTTGAGCACTCAAAGGCATGAGTAGACCGGCAATCTCATGTCTCCGCCCGCGGGGTTTAGGATTTAGGGTTTAGGGCTTAGGGGTTTAGGATTTACTGGTTATACTGTGTAGGATTTAGGATTTAGTGTTTAGGGTTTAGGCGGTTGAGGCGGTTTAGGCGATTTAGGGTTTCGGGTTTCGGGGGGGGGGGGGGGGGGGGCCGGGGGTACGGGTGAAGGAGGCTTCGTGATCGAGTCGGTAGACTTTACCGTTTTGGGGGTCACACCCTGGGCTCATGGTTTTGGATCAGGGGCCCCAAAAGCACATAAGCATAAGCATTTTATGGGGAGATCCCTACCTTACTGGGCTTCATTATAAGGGGGTTTATATGGGATATCACTATCTTCATTTTTGCTTATGTCCTTTTTTTGGGCCCTACTGGATGGTTCAGGTTCGAGGGCTTTGGTGTTTAAGGCTGAAGCTCTTGAGAATCCCTGGCCCTGAGGCTTGAAACCCACATCGGAGTTTCCGAAACTTAGGGGTACCTTACTGTAGGGTCCTTTTAAGAAGGATCCTACTAGTTAGGTGCTATACTAGGGTCCCCTACTTTCGGAAACCACCAAAAAATCACCAAACGCCAACCTGCAGATCTCCTTGGGAACCTAGAGGCCAAAATCAAGTCTGCATGGCTACATCCGAAACCCAAACACCGAAATTCTAACCAAACCTCAGACCCCATAAGCTCTAAACTCTGGGTGGCCGGAATTAGGTCCCGAGTCTTCGGTTGTGTTAGTATATACGTAAATAATAATAAGTAAAGATAAGCTTAGTGGTGTATATGATACAAATCCTGCTCTTCGGAGGTCATCAAGAAGTCGACTGGAGCGACGAAGACCTGCAAAGTCAGCCTAGACAAGGATCGCCAGGGCTTCCAACCCGAGCCCGACCCCTCAAAAACCCTAAGTTATAATGCCCGGAAGCCTTTAGGGTTTAGGGTTTAGGGTTTAGGGTTTAAATCCTAAACTCTGAAACCCTAAAGCCCTGCACCCAAAGCCCTAAAGCCCTAAAGCCCTAAAGCCCTGAACCCTAGCCGGTTCAAGAGAACTGGTCGCGTGCGGGGACTGTGTACGCTTTGCTACATCGTCCCCTATGGCGAAGCACGCGAAAGCAAAAGCATCCGCAGTACGCAGGGATGGGACAAAGGCGGGAAGTGTGTTTTTGTAGAGTGGTGATCGGGCAAATCTCTGAGGCCCGGGGATGGGCGTTTGGTGCCAATATCCACTGCTCCTACTTGGAGGTTCGTTGGTAGTTATAAGTAGGGTAGCTGTAATTATAACCCATATTAGGGGACTGAGAACCCCACTTATAACTACCCATGAACCTCCAAGTAGGAGATGACAGCTGATGCCGTCAAGAATCTGGGCAAAGTCAAGAGTCGACAAAGTGACTGGGCGTTGGTAGCCCTAAACCCTAAACCCTAAACCCTAAACCCCTAAACCCTAAACCCTAAACCCTAAACCCCTAAACCCTAAACCCCTAAACCCCTAAACCCTAAACCCTAAACCCCTAAACCCCTAAACCCTAAACCCCTAAACCCCTAAACCCTAAACCCTAAACCCTAAACCCTAAACCCCTAAACCCTAAACCCTAAACCCCAAGCATTCGGCATGATGTTTGAGAGATGTGTGCACCGGCACAATGGGCGGAGGTGGCCAGCTGGCCAGTTGCAGGGTTGGTTCGAGGCGCAGAAGCCGAAAAAGGAATGAGCACACAGATCGGTCGTTGTCAAAATTTTGGTCGTACTATAATAGGGATCCAAAAAGGGACCATAGTTTTGACAACCACCCAGATGAAGGGCAGGCGGAGGGCCTAACGAAGAGAAGGAGCGACAGCCGGAGCAGCACGGGGCACGCAAGAAGAGGCAGCGGCTTCAGGGTTTAGGGTTTAAATTTAGGGTTTAGGGGTTTTAGGGTGTAGGGGTTTAGGGTTTAGGGTTTGGGGTGGACAAGATCCGGAGTATGCAAGCCGATGAATGGGCCTGGATGAATCCCTCCGAGCAGGGGGGCCCCGCGAAGGAAGACCAGGCAGCTGCTAGGGGGAGGGCAAAGGGGAAGAAGCAGCAGTGCAAGGGGCAGGGCAAGCCGAGGAAGCAGGAGAAGCCCGGTAAGTGAGATGGGAGCAGGGGTACTCTGTGGGGGGGGAAGGAATGCTCTGCTTGGGGAGGTGCAGGGGTGCCGAGTAAAGAGACCATCCTTTCCCCGAAACAGGTTCATGGTTTGGGGATTTGGGTTTAGTGTTTTATATAGGGTTTGGGGTGGAAAGGTTGAAGAATTGAAGATCGTATCCCAAGTTACCCATTATAGTCATACTCGACTACAGCCAAAACCTTGTTCCAAGTAAGGCCCCTACCCGAAGACTCCACAGAGCCCAAAGTAGGTGCAATTTATAGACTTCAGACCCCAAAGTAGCTAGTATTTGCAAACTTGGATTCCCGGAATCCATCATATTCCGCTTGATTGGGTCTTTATTCTGGGTATTTAGGCCCCCTACCCCTCTCCCCCCTACCCCCCTAAGGGTCCCTATGATCGTAGCATGCCTGAAGCTCGACTAGGGTCATAAAGGTGCCAGGCTTCAGATCTGAAAACCTTGAGCTTTGCAGGTTTAGGGTTTAGGGGTTTAGGGTTTTAGGGGTAAGGGCTTAGGGGTTTAGGGTGTAGGGGTTTAGGGTTTGGGAGTTTAGGGTCCGGGTTTAGGGTTAACGAACCTTGCAATCTTCAAACCCGAAATCCACAAATCAGGGTTCACGGAAGGCCCGAAACTTAAAACCCGTACACTCTGAACCGGAAATCCCAAGCCCTAAACCATCCAACCGATAACCCGAAACCTTAATCCACAAAACCCTGATCCCTTAAACACGAAGGCCCTGAATCCAAAACCACTAAACCCTGAATGCATGGCCTTCCACTGTGGATTCCTGCAGATGGAAAAGGGAGCCCCCCAACAAACAAACCACTAAGACCTGAACCAGGCGGTGCAGCTGCCCCCGGCGCCAGGGGGAGGCCAGCACGGACCAACCTGCCTTGGTGGCGTGGCGGCTGCCTCTGTTGTCGAAGGGAAGTGCTATGGTTGATGATATAAATCCTGGGGTTCCTTTGAAGGGATTCATAAGGGTACCTTAAATGGGTGCCTTTAAGGGATCTATAGAGTTTTATGGTTTGAGGTTTAGGGCTGATGATATAAATCCTGCATTACCTTAGAGGACCCTGAGCTATGGGAATAAAGGTATATTCCTTAATATGGGTAATGCAGATGTATATCATCAACAGTGTGTCGGTTAGGGTTTGGGGTTCAGGCTTTCGGGTTTATTAAATGGCTGAGGGTTTCAGATTTAGGTGTTGCGAAAAACCCTAAACCCTAAACCCTCCTTGCTAGCCGACAGCCTTGACCGACATTCCGGATTCTTGTGTATATTGGGTTGATATCTTCGAACCCAGGGGCCAAGGCAGCTTAAGACGGATGCGTTTGGTACGAAGAGCTGGAAATTCGTTTTATGCCAGCAGTTCAAAAAAGCTTCTTGCAGTAATGTGTTAAATGTGTTTCGTAAGTTGTTTTCTTAAACTAGTTTGTTCGGAAAAGCTTCTTGGGTGATCTCTTCGCCGATCTACCTGCACTTTTTCATCTCTTCTCAACTATCCGCTCCTCACCTCCCAAAGAGCTCCAACATGCCGAGACCTCGTCGTTGAAGCTCTGAGCTTAGCCACTCCCCCAGCGGTTTGGGGTTTAGGGGTTTAGAGTTTAGGGTTTAGGGGTCTAGGGTCTAGTGTTTCGTAAGATGTCAAAAACTTGATTCCTCTAGTCGGTCTCCTGTAGATCAGTCTCGGCCTGTGAAGTGTTGCAAATGTAAAATTAATTCCACAGGCCCCCGTTAAACCCTGTTAAAGCCCAAAGCTGCGCAACAAGAGCAACGCACACCCTAGGTCTTGACTTGTCTTAAGGACGAAGCCGTTGTTTCCTAAGCCAAACTCCAGACTCCAAGCCCTACACCGTCACCCTAAATGCTGAACGGCTAAACCGTGAACCCTACTTGGAGGATCAGGGGGCTTAGTAAGTTAGGTTATAAGTACCTCCATTGTGGTTGTAAGCAATTATAAGTATGGTTACCTTAGTTCTAACCCTAGTTACTAAGTCCCATGATCCTTCAAGTAGACCCTATAATCCCTAAACCCTATAGATCCCTTTAAGGAACCCCTATAGATCCCTTGAAAGCAGCCCTTTCAAGGAACCCTAGTTACTAAGCCCGAACCGAAGGTCTTGGCGTGTCAGAAGGGCTCCATCACCATCGACAACACTATCGACTCCCGTCTCGAGCTGGTCATGGAGCAGGCAGGGTTTAGCATGCGAGGCGGACTATAGACTATATCGGAGTTTCCGAAAGTAGGGGACCCTAACATAGGACCCCAAATCGTAGGATCCTTTGATATAAGGACCCGAAAATAAGGTACCCCTGATTTCGGAAACTCCCATATAAATAGAAAAGTTGGTCCCGCATAGCCGCTCTAGAACCACTGTCTGCTATACCTCCAAAAACCCTACTCTCGTGACGAAGGCGCCTGCACTAGCCAACCCGGCATATAGGGTGAACAGCAAATTCAGCAGCAACTCATTCGAAGAGCTGATCCAGGATACCCTAACCCCCTCAACTCTCGACCCTAAACCCAAACCCCAAGCCCCAAACCCAACATCCAACATTTCCCCTCGACATATACTTGCCCGATAGGCTTCTTGATCTTCTCGGCTCCGTGTCATAATGAGAGAGTATCTAGTCGTTGAGGTTCCGATGTGAACATGGACGACGGCGGGGATTATAGAAGTGAGGGTGCAGATGATATGTCTGTCCTCGAGTTTTCAGATTCAGAGGGACCCAAGGGTAGAGGGATCCTTCTTGTAAGGACTTTAGTTCAGCTATCCCAATTTTCTGAAAGCCCCGTATGTATCCTGCAAGGAAGCCGGGATCCCGAAGATAAAAGCCACGATCCTAGAGCAGTCCCTGTATGCCTAAAGCAAAACATTGATCAAACAGGCTTATTCTGCTCATTACGGCACTTTGTGGCTAGGGTTTATGGTTTTTGTGGGAGTATACCAGAATGTACTCCAGCACACTATTGAACAAGGTCCCTATTTTGTCCCCGAAGAGCTGCCTGCAGGCGAAGCCAACGATCAGGAAGCTGTTGTTCACAAAGTCCCTCACCTATCCGGGCAAGATTTCAATTACGACAGAGATCACGGGTACATTGCAGTATAAGTTCATACCCTAAGCCCTAAACCCTCAACACCCGCAACCCGAAACCCTAAGCCTGTATGTCTATAGGGACGATTAGGGGATGCTGGTGCAAACTACCCATAGGCCCCAAAGTAGTTCCTTTTTGAGATTACCTTATAGGATTCTATATATGAACCCCCCCAAAAAGGAACTACTTTGGGGCCTATGGGTATGCATCCCTAAACCCTAAACCCTAAACCTTAAACCCTAAACCCTAAACCCTAAACCTTAAACCCTAAACCCTAAACCCTAAACCCTAAACCCTTAGGGAAGGAAGGCGACCTGGGTGACGACTGAGTTGGGTTAATGTGCTGTTTGTTGGAGCCTGCAAGTGCTCTAACTCTCCTGGCCTGATGGCCTTGACGCTAGCCCATTACCTGGCAGGCATCAAAAAGGAGTTTAAAAAAAAAAAAACCCTAAACCCTAAACCCTAAACCCTAGAGGGAAGAGGTGGAAGGATCATCCTGTTGACTCCGGGGCATCGGGGCCTAGAACTGGGGAAGGACGCTTCATAGGGGTACTTAGACAAAATTTGAAGCTTTTTGGGTTATTGTAATCCATAAGAAACAGCTAAAATTAGAATTTTTGCTAGGGTTCTAAGTTCAGTATGGGCTTGAGGGTACAAAAGTTTATCGTTTAGGGGTTAGGGGTTTAGGGGTTTAGGGGAGTTTAGGGTGTAGAGTTCCGGGCTGAGGGTGTAGGATTCAGGCAAGGCAGCAAGCTTAGTAAGGTTTGGGGTACAGCTTTTGGTGCTCCACTTTGCCTCATCCCCAACCATGGAATCACTCAGTTCCATCATTTCGTGTCAAGCAGCAAGCTTCTTTGTGCGGGACGTGATGCGCGATGGGTCCGTTCTCGCTTGTCCTGCAAGGTTTGTGTCTGCTATACAGGAAAAGCCTGTAGGAAGCTTTAGCCCCATTATGCAGGCCTCTATATGCACTTCTATTGAACTACTGCCGCTGCTCTTCCTCGGCCACAGTTGCAGCTACGGTACTCGAGCGTAAGCCTGTACTGCAGCGCGACGACGGCTACTACTACTAGTTGCTACTACTACTACTACTACTACTACTACTACTACTACTACTACTACTACGACTACTACAACGACGACGACTATTACTGCTACTACTACTACTACTACTACTACCACTACTACGACGACGACGACGACTACTACTACTCCTGCTGCTGCTACTCCTATCCTATTTCATCCTCCTGAGGTGATGCCGAGCTCCTGGTGCGGTGTCAGGTTCGGCGACCCGAGGATGTTCGGGTGTTTGAGGACGACGTCTCTGAGCGCAGCTCTTGAGCGCAGTGTGGCATCCAAAGCTCTACCAGAAATGGGGTTTGAAGCGTGTTACTATGAGGGTACTAGGGTATTCTAAGGGTTGCATGATGGTTAGTGGTCAGCAGATCACCAAGCAGATCAAACAAGACGCTCACCGTAAGCCACTATCTCAAATTATGACAAGTTGGAATATCAGCAACTTAAGAATACTGTTGTGGTTCGTCGTGCTCGCTTTATTGTTGTCATTATGCTCGTTATCCGTACTGCCCATGCTGCTGCTGTCAGAGATGCACATAGGATTTCGTTTAGGGTTTCGGGTTGTAAGGAGCTACAGAATCTTAAACCCTAAAACCCGTTGGCGCTCCAAAAGCCCTACAACCCTACACCCTACACCTTAAACCCCTAAGCCCTAAAGGTCTTGGAAGCAGGAGTCAGTCATACATCTAGGCCCTAAACCCTAAACCCTAAACCCTAAACCCTAAACCCTAAACCCTAAACCCTACATCTAGGCAGCGAGGCATTCGGGTGCCAGGGCATCAGGGCTGTTTGGTGTGGGATTCACTGTTGAGGGTCCCTGGCTCTTTGGGGTTTACGGTTTACGGTTTGGGTTTACGGGAAAACCCGAGGAATTTACTCCTCATACTGTTTCTGAGTCTGTTAAAGCAGCGCGCGTCCCTGATTGGGTTTAGGGTTGAACGATGAGGAATGAGGCCCTAACTCGACGTGCAGGCACCTCACAACAGGGAACTGTTGTATACATATAGAGCCACATCGTTTTGTGAAGTATCCTGGTGATGGTCATCATAGTACTCGCATGGGACTGGGAAGCTAAACCTCCACCCTGGGATCTGTGGCGCGCCCTGGCTAACGGATTTTAAGTTGTTGATTTTTGATTTTTGTCTTCGGGTTTAGGGTCTAGGGGTTACGGCTAATTGTCCGCGAGAGTTTCCAACGGTGCCCGGAGCGGTGGAGCTGGAGGCACACTGTCGCCTGCTTCAGATACTTCGTCGCTTAGCCTGACTCCTCTCCCTGCCATTGTTTAGGATTCGAGAGCTTTGGGATTAGCGGGTGGCGGTTTAGGCTTTGGTTATTAGTATGCATTCCATCCGAATTGTGTTCATGGTCTTTTATACGACTCCCAGTTTGCTAGGGCACTTAAAGTATAAGTGCCCCCATAAAACCTATTCTAATTATTCAGCTTAGGGTTTGGCTGATTGCTTTTTGCCAGACGGCGCGGGTGCCGGAGCGATCGGCTTTATGCAGTGTCTGTTGGGGACAAAAGATTTCTGAACTGCTTCAGGGTTTAGGGTTTAGAGTTTTCTGATCTCAGCCGCCCCTCCCCAAAATCCTGAACCCTTAACCCGAAACCGTTCGGATACTCCCAAAGGTCTTCGTCTAGTGAGCGGATTCTGTATTCAGAGACTCAGGGCGAGCTTCCCGAGCTTGCTACAAGTCGAGCTATGGATTGGGTATCGATTTGGGATGATTTTTGATATCATTTATTGTTTCATATAGAGCCCTAACTATCAATCGTTTCGGGGCACTGTTGAAATTGACACCTAGTACAGATAACAAGCCCAGACATAGCCGACTCTCTATAGGTTCCATATCCTGAGCCCCGCCAAAAGCCCAGTTGAAGCCCTTGTAGAAAATTTGCGGAAGCCCACAAATCGCTTGAAAGAGCCCTCGCTGGCCTTAACAGCTTAGTGCACAAAACGCTACATCCGAAACCCCCATCAGCCCTTGTGTTTGAAACCCTACTTGAAGGATCATGGGACTTAGTAACTAGGGTTATAATTAAGGCAACCATACTTATAATTACTTATATCCCCAATTAAGGTACTTATAACCTAGCTTACTAAGTCCCCTGACCCTCCAAGTAGAACCTGCCATATGGTCCGACCTCGCAAAGTTGCAGCGACGGTTCGACTAGGGGTTTTCACAAATAGAAAGGGTGTTCGGAGTTAATTATGTATAGTTAGTATATTTTTCGCATGTAGCCCTAAGACCCATAGAAAGGGCCTGGGGATTCCAATATGTATAGTTATTATAGTTTTCGCAAGGAGCCCCAAATCAAAGAATTGGTATTTCTTCAGACCCCATTGGAGGTGTCGGGGCTTAGGTTTCTTTTGGCTAACGGACTTGGAGCGATCAGCTCCAGGGATCGAGGGTGGGCTCAGGGGTAGAGCGTCTTCTAGTCTAAAGCGTTAAGGGGTTAGCTGGGTTGTCCTTTGGGATCTTTTTTTGATTTCTACTACTATTTTGTAGAGAGCCATAGTAGTAACTGGTTTTCATTGGGCTTAAAGGACAACTCAGTTAGTCCAAGGGTGTAGGGTTGAGGGGCTACGACTTTCGATCGGTGGCTTGGCTTTGTCTGCCGGGAAGCTCCGGGAAACCTTTAGCCCTACTTGGAGGATCAGGGGACTTAGTAAGGGCTCTTAAAGGGCTCCTTAAAGGGATCTATATAGGGTTCCTTATAGGGATCTATAGGGTTTAGGGTTCTACATCAGGGGACTTAGTAAGTTAGGTTATAAGTACTTTAATTGGGGTTATAAGCAACTATAAGTATAGTTACCTTAACTATAACCCTAGTTGCTAAGTCCCATGATCCTTCAAGTAACCCCGAGGCCACAAGACGACATGGTGCTGGGTTAAAGTTTAGGGTTTAGGGTTTCGCATGCTTCATGCTACGGGCTCTCAGCTGGCAGCAACATGTGACATGAGGCAACCCTTATCTACAGAGTCACCGCCACTAAAGCTTCTTGGCCCCTGACGCCCCCCCAGCGTGCAGAATGTCAGGCTTTCGTCACTGAAAAACAATCGCTTCAAGGTTTAGCAGGCTTCAGGACCCGAATAAACCCTACATCCTGAACCCTAAGCCCTAAATCCTAAATCCTACTGCTCAAATCGACACCCCCTAAGCCCTAAGCCCTAAATCCTAAACCCCAAAACCCTAAGCCCTAAGCCTTGAACCCTAAATGGGACTTTCGGATTGAGGGCTTTTGGAGTTCCGGGTGCAGCTGCCAACTTGGCCCCATGGCGTCGGCCGTGGATGCCCCAGTGAAGCAGAAGTTCTCTACTTTAAGGTGTAGGGTTCAGGGCTGGGCTTAGGGGTTTTAGGGTCTGGGGCTTTGGGTTTAGGGTGTGAGGTTTGGGGTTCAGGGTTTAGGGTTTGAGGGTTCAAGGATTCAGGGCTAGGGTTTTAGGGTCTAGTTTGGGCTTTAGGTTTTAGGCTCAGAGATGCAGTGTCTTTCAAAAGGCTTTAGGTTGTGTTTCGGAAGTCAGGGCTGTACTATAGGGGCTTCAATAATTACCAATACTATTTTGAGGGTTCCTTATTATAGTTATAGTATAATGGGGAGGATCCAAAAAGTAGATCCCTTAATGGGGGTTCCTATAAAGTACCCTTAGTAGCATAGGGCCCCAAATTAGGGGATCTACTTTCTAGATCCTCCCGGGGGTCTGGGTATTAAGGCCCCTATAGTAGGATGCTGGAGTTTTCGGATGGAAGCTCAGTTTCAAGAGCTCAAGGGGCTTTTCGGGCTCTACGTTGACACAGAGTTCAGTATTGAGCAGGATCAGGTTGAGCTCAGGGTGGGTTTCCTGCATGAGGGCTGCTTTACCCAGAACCCCCGGAGGATCCGAAAAGTAGATCCCGTAATGGGGGTTCCTATAAAGTACCCTTAGTAGTTTAGGGGCCCCAAATTAGGGGATCTAGTTTCTGGATCCTCCCGAGGGTTTGGGCAGGGGTACCACCTTCGTGGGAGTTTTCTTCCCCGACAAGCCTGGAATGGTTCTGAGGTGTTTCAGGGGATCGTGAGGGCTCTAAATATTGTTTGATAATGCTTAGCCTCTATACTGGAATGCAGCTCTTACAAAGCCGCCATCGAACCTTGCGGGAAGCCCAAACCCAAAACACCAAGGCCCAAATTTGGGCCTGAAACTCTAAGGCCTAAACCCTAAACGCTTTATCATGAATCCTAAACTCCAAACATTGAACCCCATCAAAACACTCATGCAAGATCTTGGCCTAAACCCGAAACCTACCCTGAACTCTGAACCCTAAACCCTAAACCCGAAACCTTAGGCCCTAAACCATAAAGGTCCGAAATTCTAAACCCCGAACCCCATCAAAAACCCCCAAGAACCCCCGAAATCCGTTCTGAGGATGGCGTGGGCGACATCACCGAGAGGATCATGGAGCTAAGAGCTGAGAGATTCGAAGCCCAAGGGTTTGAGCCCAAAACCCTCAAACCATGTAGGTTCGATAGGGTTTTATGGGGTTCTTACAGGGCTTTAGGTGTGTTTCCAGGGGGTTTTGATGGCTTTCGAGAGGGTTTTGCTGAACACAGGGTCTGTGCAGGGCTTTGACAAAGTTGTTACATGGTCTCGTCAGGGTTTTAGAGGGCTTTAGTATGGGGCCTGTATACTCATCATTGATAAGGCTTCGTGGTATCTTCTAGTGCTGCCCTAGAACCAAGACGCCCCTAATCGCTACTGCACACCCACGTGCTACACCCTAAAGTGCGCACCTCAAGACCCTAAGCCCTCAACCCCAAAACCTGAATCCTGTAAAAGGACTCTATTAACATCGGAGGCGTATCAAAACCCACCAACACCCCTAAACCCTATACCCTAAACCTAAGCCCTATAACGGGCAAAACCCACCTAAAATCCCAACAATCCTAGAGCCGGCAATGCGGGAACTCGCCTAACACCTCGGGTTGCTCCGGTTTGAGGCATTTAGGGGTTTAGGCTTTAGGGTGTAGGGGTTTTTGGGTATAGGGTTTTAGAACTTTGGGGCTTATATAGAAGGACTTTCCCGGAGGTTTTGCAAACGATTTTTAAGAGTATCATGAGGGTTGCATAGGGGTTTGGAAGGGTCTTCTGTAGAGTTTTTATTAGTGGTGTATCTAGCGGTTTTACGGAGGCTTTGCAGGGGTTTCACAAGGTTTTACATGGTTTTGAGAGGATTTTCTGAAAGTCTCACAAGATGTTGTTTCTTCTGTCAGGCTGTATGGTTTTGCAAGAATTTCATGCGGAGGTTTATTACAGGTATTGTGAAAGGTTGTATGAGGGCCGTGGGCTTTCAGGAGTTTCATAAGCGTTTGAAAGGGTGTATATAGGGCTCTATGGGGCGAAGCCTGGTACTTTACGCAGAGCTGCGATTATGCCAGTTGATTCAAGGGCTTGTGTACTTAGTTTTGTGCTTCTGCAGGGTTGCTTTGTTGACAGACTTTTCGTATGGTTTACCACCAAAACTCTGATCATTAAGACCGCTTCGTTGGGTTTAGCCTGAAGTGTTTTCCGCCGGTTTAGGGTTTAGGGTTAAGCTGTTTGGAAGGCCCCCAGCCCAAAACATAGACCCTACAACCTACGACGCACACTCTAAGCCCTAAGCCTTAAGCCCTAACATCGATATGGAAGCCTGCATCATTGCCAATACCATTACTTACGGTTCCTACTATCGTTACATAGTTAGACGGTAGTATAGCCCCAGACATTGTTCTTCATGATTAAAGCCCATATGCTAGGTAAGCTCTAAACCCGGTCTTAAGTCTCTGAAGGTTTCAGCGGCGGGAGTATGCCATGCTTTCGCGCCTCGCTGGGGCCTTGCTTATGAAGGATCTCTTGGGTTGCGGACCTAGAGCAGTTTGAAGGTTGAGGGCTTGGGGCTTTTAGGGTCATAGGTTTCTTAGGGTTGAGGGGCCAAGGAAGTCTTGTTGATGTAGGATCGCTAAATCGTATAAGTCCTATGATCTTGAAGACCTATTCAGCCCTGGACCCTAAGCCTTAGTTTAGTTCCACTACTGGGTCGGAATCATCAGTGATAGTTTTCCCTTACAGTGCCTTACAGTCCCTAGACATGTATACCAAGCCCCAATTTTCATGTTTGTGGGCCTAAATTTTCGAATTGTTTTTCGAAAAAAACTTGTGAATTGTTTTTATCTTGTTTTTATAAACAACAATTCCTGAGGCTCCTCCCGCAGAAGCCCCTAAATTTGTGCGATACCATGACTTGAGCAAGGCTGATCAAGTGGGAGAAGGCCAAAAGTAGTTTGGGGCTTAGGGCTTCAGGGATGAGGGCTTTGGGGCTCAGGGTTTAGGGCTTTAGGGTTTAGGGTTTAGGGCTTTAGGGTTCAGGGTTTAGGGTTTAGGGTTTAGGGTTTAGGGTTTAGGGTTCAGGGTTTAGGGCTTTCGGGTTTAGGGAATTTGGGGTGACTTGTGCATCCCCTTACGCAAGACAGGCAGGTAGCAATCATAATTCGTTACAGTAACACGAGGACTGATATAATTCTTGTTAAGTCGATAAGGCCACGAACCCCAAACCCTAGACCTGAATCCCTACTAAGCTAAGAACAGCAGCTCCGTTATGTGCAATGACCTGCCTAAACGGGCTCTCTTGGTGTAACAGCCAGGAGAAAGGTCTTCAAAGAAAAGCTTGAAACCCACAGATGGAAAAAGGTGCTTAACCCAGAGAGCCCAACACCCCTGATTTAAGGAACATAGCATAAATTATCAGATTAAGCCCCTTATCATGTGAGGTATCTTCCTTTGTTCAGGCGCAGTGGGCTCCCTGCTTTCAACAAGCCCCCTAAACCCTAAACCCCTTAAGCCCCAGCGGACTACAGACGTCCGACTGTCCTGGCTGTTAAAGCCTCTCTCGAGCAGCAACTGCTGCGACTGGAAGAAGAGGAGTTCAAAACAAAAACCTATACCCTAAACCCAAAAACTCGTAGGAAGACGGGTTTTCACCGAGCCCAGGCGCAGCGGGAGCGAGAGATGACGAAGCTGCCGGGATCCTGAGATTTCCGTTTGCCTCTTTTTTAGTGGGCATCATCGAATGCCAATAATAGCAATAACAATATTAATAATCATAAAAAATTGAAACAATAATCCTTAATTATAATCATGGCTTCTTTTTGGGTTAGGGTTTAGCTTAGTTAAACACAGGCAATTTAAACGCATGTGTTTATGTGGTTACAGCTTCAATTACTAGCACTACTAATTAACCCAGAGGCCGGAGCCCTAAACCCTAAAGCCCAAACCCTAGGCCCTAAACCCTAGGCCCAGCCTAAAGCCTAGGCCCAGCCTAAAGCCCCAACCCTAGGCCCTAAACCCTAGAGCCCAAACCCTAGGCTGTACGAAAACTTGCCATAGCATTGGTCCGCTGTGCGAAAAACTTGCCATAGCAGTGGTCCGGTGTTTGAAAACTTGCCATAGCCTTGGTCCGGCTGTACGAAAATCGGCTTGAGAACGGTTCCGCTGTACGCAAGATGTGCTCAGGGCGAAAACATATTAAGAAAGAAGGGTTTAGGGTTTGGGGGTTTAGGGATGTTCTTAATGTTCACCGGGGAGGTTTAGGGACGTTTGGGTGTGTGTGCGTTTGCATTTTTTGGGTTGTCTCGGGCTCTATAGGATGGTTTTTCAGGTTTATGTACAGGGAATCCCAGCACTATTTGGCCTAGATCCGGTTTCCAACTTTCTGGGGTTTACTGTAGATGCCCTCAGCCACCCTAAACCCTAAAGCCCCGACCCGCTGCAACACCTCGAAACCTCAAGCCTTTGACAACCCTAATATAGGGGCCTAAATAATTACCTGTACTACTTTGGGGGTTCCTTAGTATGATATAACCCCAACCAAACCCTATTCCAATGATTAAGGCCCCTATGTTACCCTCACCCTTCAACTTTAAACCTAAACCCTAAGCCCTGAACCTAAGCCCTATAAGCCCTAAAACCTTAAGCCCTAAACCCTAAACCCTACACTTCACTCCCTGACCCGAAACCCCATGTGACTTCACGAAGTCCAACCCAGGGGCCAAGAGTGCGCCGAAGCCTTCTATGCCTTCGACGACAATCGCAAGGCGTGCTGTTGAGTCGGGGCATAGGCTTAGATCCCCAATACCCAACCTTTAAACTTTCAGTTCTTATAGTTCAGTAGGAACCGGAAAATTTAACCTTTCACTTCAGTGGCCTTTTGGGGGAGTAAGTAGGGATGGTATGGTTAAAGGTCGGGAATTTGGTGTATCTACTTTTCCATCATTGTCCATATTCCCGGAAATGGCATCGTGGATTTTCTCTGCAGGCTGCTGTAAGGTTGTTCCGCTACAGCCGTGCATACGCGGGCGTTCGCACTGGGCAGGATCCAGAAGCCTCAGTTTCTGTTGCAAAGAGACCCCTCTACGAAGAGAACCCTCAATCTCGAGCCCTAAACCCTATGCCCCAACACCCAGCATGAGAAAGGATTCTCTGCGCGGCGGCTACGTGGATCCCGCGGTGAACATCGAGATCACCCTCCTGCGCCAACGGCTGCGAGAGAAGGCGAAGCTGCGACCCTGCATTTAAGCTTGAGTTGGGGGTGGAGGGGCTTAGGGCAGAGGATGGTGTGGGGGTTTGGGTTTAGGTGTCTAGAGATGTAGGGTGGAGGGTTTAGAGTAGCGCTTTAGTGGGCGGCCTGAGTTAGAAGCACGGTGGATCTTAAAGGAATCGTGCTGCCGTCTTGAGGCTTGCATTTACTTTTTGATTTCTTGGCCACAGGATCTGACATGAAGCTCTTATTCCGCAGACTTCATGCGGGTTGCAGGGTCTTTGGGGTTGAATACAGCTCCTCAAACCCTAAGCCTTAGCGCAGCAGGCTTGCGAGGCCAAATTCTGCACCCTATAGTGAACCCCAGAAAGTTGGAACATGGATTAAGGATGATTAGTGCTAGGATTCCAAATACTTTACTTTAGGGGCATGGGGATGATGATGTTCCAACTTTCTGGCTTCTACTATAACCTACCTTAAACTACCAAACCCTACTTTTTTGTAGGTTCTTATTACAAACCCTAATATGGAATTTATAGGGACCCTACAAAAAAGTAGGTTTTGGTAGGTTAAGGTATCAGACACTCCAACCTCAAAGGCGGCGAGTCCGAAAACCGCAAGTTATGCAAGACTATCCAGGGTTTATTGGGGTGATGCTCTGCAGGAATCAGGGTTTTGCGGTGTAGGATTTAGTGCTTTAAAGGATCGTGGATCTTGGTGAGTCGGTTGTATTTGGGGTTTGGGGTTTAGAGTTTTGGGAAAACCCCCCGAAAGGCTGTGAAGCCTCTGCCGCTTGATTTGTTACAAATGCTACAAGTAGGACCCAGAGTAGGTGCCCTTTTCCCTTCTCTGGGATTCCTTTCTAGCCCCCTTAAACCAAAAGGGGCACCCTTCTTATTCCTAGGTTACTTACTCTTGGCTCTAGAATGGCCTTCCGCAGAGATGGTAGGATTAGGCAGACCAGGGTGCTTAAAGCGAAGAGAAGCCCAAAACTCCCGGGCTTCGGCTGTGGGGAAAGCCCGAAGCCCTAAACCCTCAAAGCCCGGGAATCTGCAGGATCAGGAGATTTCGCAAGTGCGCGAGGAGCTTCAGAACGCGCAGCAAGGGACTCAGCTCTTTGAGGTCCAGCGTGGGTTTGGAGGTGGGGTTCGGAGTTCAGGGTGTCGGGTTTAGGGTTTTGAAAACTCCAGCTTATGCACCTTCTTTGCTGTCTTTTTCCGGGTCCGAAAGGTCGGATCGAAAAGCCATATAACCTGAAGTAAAGCACACATGTAGGGTTCCGGGACCATGCGAAAATTGGAGCATCCCAGGCTTTAAACACAGGGACCCTTAGGGGGGTAGGGGGGAGGGAGTTAGGGGACTGTACTTCCTTAAATAGGCCTTATGAAGTTCTTATTGTGGCATTACGGCCCCCTACCCCCGTCCGCTACCCCCCTTAAGGGTCCCCATGATGAGAGTATCCCCTGTAGCCCTCATGAATCAAGGAAGCGCACAGTACACTCCACACCCTGTCGAACTCTTACGGCTCCTATGTTAAGGCCCTTAACTTCACCTTCGAAGGAACCTTATTCTTGTGACTATGGCCCCTAGAGGGCCAAGGCTTTCTTTTGAATGCTCAGACCTGCTGTCCAAACAACCCAAACGACAAAGAGCAATGGTAACAAGAAGAAGAGGGAGAACAGACATCGAAATAATGGCAACTGTTTTTATACGAGAATATGAACAGCAGCGACAAGAAAACTAGAAGCACCACTTTAATGAAAAGCTCTAAACCTTAAACCCTAAACCCCCCCTGACCCCTAAACCCTAAGCCCTAACTGTAAACCCCGAAACCCCGAAATTATCGGAGCCCCTAGGAAGTCTCATTCCGAGGTTCCAGCCCAACAGCATCCAGGGCAAGAAGCTGCTGCACTCCTGGCCAACGATTTGTCTTGAGTTTTTAGGTTTAGGGTTTTAGGGGTGTTTAGGGGTTTAGGGTTTAGGGGTTTAGGGTATAGGGGTTTGGAGTTTGAGGGTTTACGGTTTAGGGGCGGCTGGAGCCCTCAACCTTGAATAACCCTGAACCCTAAGACTTACAAGCCTCACACCCAAAACTGCCCTACACCCTAAGCCTAAGCCCTAAAGCCTGAAATCCTAAGCCCTAAACCCCTCAAGCCCGAAACCTTAAACTAACCGCTAAACCATGGCGGTTTTTTGTGATCGTGCCGCTTCATGATGGTGCACTCATGATCAAGCCTTGCATGGCAATTCTGAAGAGCATTTGAAGCAGCGTCTGGGCCCTAGGCCCTCAACCCTAACCCCTAGGATGCCCAGTAGTACCCTTATTCCCTTTTTGTAGTCCTAGGTTCCTTACAAAGTTACCCAATGCGAAAAAGGGACCCCTTTTTATTCCTAGGTTACTGGGCATCTTAGACCCATTGCATAGGAAGTTCGGCTGTCATCGCCGAAAATGAGATGCTTGCAGTGGGAACGATATGTGGGCGTCATGACAGAGAGACATGCCAAAGCTTCCCCGACTTTTTTGCCAGAGAGCCCTACGCCCTAACCCTAAACCAAGAACACAACTCCGCCGTGCTGATTTGTTGAAATATTGTAACATCGCAGAAATTGTGGGGCTTGATGTTCAGTCGCCACCAGCTTTTTCCAGTCACCGTAAGACTTTCCTCGTGACTTGTAGATATTGTGAACAATAGCGTGGCAAGGTACGCGTTCATTGCCGCGGATTTCCTAGCTCAGAGGATATCTTGAGAAAGTGCTGGACATGTGCTTGCTCCATTGTCCATAACATCGTGGTTCCAGCGAATCATCTACAGAGCCCAACCCAAGCCCCCAGCCCTAAACCAAAAGACCCATTTGTTTCATAAAAAGCACTAATCCTGCCAACACCCCATAAGCCGTTCATAAACCCTAAGACCCACAAAGCCCTAAACCGCCAGGGATAAGTGTCAACACCTCATGGAAGAGAATGCCGAGATCGCGCGGCAACTGAGCGAAGAGAAAATGCAGGCCCTACCCAGTCGGAGGGTCAGGGCCTTTGTTGGGTTCTACCAGTAACTACGGTTGATGATATAAATCCTGCATTACCCACTATAAGGAATATACCATAATTCCCATAGTCTAGGGTCCTTAAGGTAATGCAGGATTTCTATCATCCACCGTATTGGTTTTCGTTGGGATTCCATCTGGTTTTGGGTTTGGGTTTGTGGGTTTAAGGTTAGGGGGCGCGGGGTTCGTGTAGGGTCTAGGCTCTATATGGTTTACCTCCGAGCCTTAAACCCCTGACCCCATGCACCCAAATCCTAATTCCCAAACCCCCAAATCTGGAGCCTATAGATCTTGAATCAGCCCCTAAACTCAACCCTGACCCCACAGGTCAATCTGTCAATCACTTTGAAGAACACCTGTTACTGAGTTCAGATACCGTTAACAATCCTTACCCTCATTGTTGAGACCCTTATATGTGTGGTTGTCAGTATTAGGGTCCCTTTTAGGGTCCTTATTATGATACGGCACTTAAAATTTAGGGTACCCAAAAAGGGACCATCATTTTGACAGCTACCCATGCTAGAAAGTGGGGAGGTGCTCCGCATTCAGCTCGCAGCCGAGCGACGGAAGCGCTTGCAGCTCCGCTGGGGAACTCAGTTCGTTTAGGGGTTTTGGCTTTCAGGGTGATATGGTTTAGGGGTTAGGGTTTCGGGTTTCCGGTTTAGGGTTTAGGGTTTTTGGCTTTCAGGGTGTCGGGTTTTAGAGTCTTGGGGTTGAGGGTTTCATGCTTCTGGGCCATTCGGTCTGGAGGCGCTCGGATCTGTGTTTAAGGATTTGAGGTCTTCGGTTTTAGAGTTTGCCCAAGGGTAAAAGGAGGGACCCTTAATAAGGACCCCTAGCCCTTAATAATATGGCTATTATATATACCCATTATATAGCCCATTATAGGGTAGGGGTCCCCATTAAGGGTCCCTCCTTTTACCCTTTGAGTTTGGGGAGTTGCACGATGCTACTTCGGAGTTTGGGTTCCAGGCTCAGGGCTTTTGACTGGAAGGTCCAGAGGCATCTGAGGCTGTGATTGCAGTTTATGCTAGGAGTTATGCCTGCAGAAGAGGGCCCATTCTGTTGAAAGTTGTAAGGCTTGCAGGTACAGCTATGGTTATTTTGCGATGCATGTCGAATCCCGGACCGTATAACATTAAACACCAAACCGACATGCTTTGCCGTACCCTGCAAAACTCAACCCCAAGTACTACACCCTGTAAGACCGTTAAACCCCTAAACCGAATGCAACTCCTCTTAACCCCTAAACCCCTCAATCATTATTGATCTGCGGAACCCCAAATGGGAGTTTCCGAAAATAGGGGACCCCACTATACTACCCTAAATAGTAGGATCCTTATTATAAGTACCCCCCCCCCAAAATAAGGTACCCCCTTTTTTAACCTCCTAAACCCTAAACCCTAAACCCAAAACCCTTCAATCATTATTGATCTGCGGAAACCGCCAATTCCCAAACCCTGAGCCCTGTATCTCCTTCTCTACTATTTGCTTTAGAAACCCCCAAAAAATAAACATAATAATCCCTATATTACCCCCATAAAGGAATATATGATCCCGGTTCGGCCGGCCCCCCCCCCTCCCCCCCCCCAATGGTTCCTCCTCCCCCTGGTTCGGGAGTGGGTCTGCTTAGGCTGGTTACCCCACTCCCCCCTGTGGTGTGGTGCGGTTTGGGTTTCCTGCGTGGGTCTGCTTGGCGTGCGGGCCATCGTGTGGACACACAGACTCGGCTTGGGGAGCGTGGGGGGGGGGGGGGGTACCATTGGGGGGGGGGGGGGGGTCGGTGAACCGAGAACCGGGATCATATATATTTTTGTTTTTTGGGGGGGCTTCTTAAGCAACTAGTAGTTCTCAAACTACCCTTCATGTCCCCACTCCCCGAGGTCAGAGGAGCGCCTTTTTGGATCGGTATGCGGAGCAGGCCGGCCTTTGAGTCTCTTCCCCCAAGGGTCCAAGTAGACCTAAGTATTCAGACCACTATAGTGCTACGGGGCTCCCGGGGTTTCGAGAAGCAAAGGGCTTCAGGTTTGGGGTTCCCTTAAGGGTGTAGGAAATGGCAGGTTTTTGCTTGTCTTTTTTAATAATGTAGTTCAGCACTAATTTGCATATTATAAATAAGGAGTCCCAAGGAATGGTATTGGTAATGAATTACCCCAGAAACTCTCCAAAATCCTAACCTACATAGCTACTATCCTAAATCCGAGTACCTAATTATTGGGTCCTTTGGAAATTTGGGGTTCGGAATCAGAAAGCGTAGGGTTGAGGTTCCTGAATCAGGGTTTACGTTTTTTTTCGTGTAGGGGTTCAGGGTTGAGGGTTGAGGGTTTGGGGTAGGGTTGAGGTTCTTGGTTTAGGGTTTAGAATTAGGAGTTTAGGAAGTAGGAACAGGGTATGGACTCAGTTCCCAGCACTCGGGTGGGCGTTAGGGCTTGGGATTCAGGGTTCAGGCTTCCGTGGCCCGGGGTTTGTGCTCTAGGGCTTCGGGGTTTGAGTTTCCCGGCCTTTGGGCTTTGTTTTTGGGGTGTGAAGTCCAACTATCCGAAGTCCTGTGCCGCAATTGCACAGTCTTAGGGCAAAGGACGTAAAGCTGCAGCATTGAAGCTCAAACTGGTGCAGAAAAAATACTATGCTAAACTTACTAAACCCCGGACCGCAACCCAAAACCCTAAATTGCTTTGATGGTCTCCTCTTTCTGAAAGCTCCGTTTTTCAATCCGCTTGGAACCCTTAAACAAGACAGGGTCGAGGGTTTTTGGGTTTAGGATGGAGGGGATTATAGCGGTTTAGAGGTGACAGCATATTTGGGGCAGGGGGTTGAGGGTTTCGGGAGTTGGACCTAAACCCTAAACCCTAACTTTAACCCTCACCCCGAAACCCTAAACCTTACACCCTAAACGTTAAACCCTAAACTTTAACCCTAATCCTTAAACCCTAAACCTTCAAGCCCAAAATTTTGACCCTAACCCCTAAACCTTAAACCCTGAATGGGGGTTTTGGGTTCAATGCGGGAGCTTCGCATCGCCAAGGCAGGCTGCCGTATATCTCTATGCCGACGAGTCTGGCCCAAAACTCCCTAGACCCTGCATCGGGATACCTTATTGGGTTGCTACAAGGGTACTAGAAGGGTTCTTTAAAGGTCACTATAAGGGTACCAAAAGGGTTCCTGACATGGGCTCTATAAGGGTTTGGAGTTTCCGAAAATTAGGGGTACCTTGTTTTGGGGTCCGAATAAGGATCCTACTAGGGTCCGCTATTTTCGGAAACTCCCATATCTAAACCCTACAGGCTAAAGTCCCGCACATTTTGCCATAGAGCTGCAGATACCGTCCCAAAATCCGAAACCTTACTTCGTAAACTAGACCCCAAAACCCTGAGGCCCAAGCCTCATGCCCATATCTGTCATAGCCCTAAACCCTAAGCCCTCGACCCAAGACTCGAAACCGAAGCCTTCGGGAAGGAAGCCTTGAGAATAGCAGTGAAAAAAGCATCCGAGGCCGACCAGGAAAACGAGAAGATGGAGAAGAAGTGGAGGGCTTACTTCGGGTTCAGAGATTCGGGGCTGTAGGGCTTTCGGTGTGTAGTGATCCGTCTTCGTGCCTGGCACTTTAATGATGGATGTCGGGTCTCTGTTTTGTGTTGTGGCCTGCTCTTGCCTGCTGCGAACTTTGACTTCAGGGTGCTGGTCTCGAAACATAGCCGTCAGTTCAGTCCATAAGTTAGTTCAGTCCATAAGTTACTGCTCTTTTTCTCATCGGGAAGAATGAAGCCACCGCAATCCCTATGCGGCCACCCACGTGCTCAGGACTTCTGCAGGCAAGCAAGGCTACTTCTGCCCACAATTGGAGTCATAATCAGTTGCAGTGGTTACCACAATCGCACGGATGCTACAAGAAGAATGGTCAGTTCTTTCCGTCAGAAAGAACCTAGCGTGGGAGAAGCAGAGGAATGCCCCCGAAACCCTAAACTCAGGATCACGGACCTCGGCCAAAGCTTGAAAGAGCGGCGATCTCAGCCTAGAACTCTGCCGGGGCCAGTTGTCGTCATCTTCGTGGTTGTGGTTGTTGTAACATAGGGGCCTAAATAATTATAGGGTTCCTTCAAAGGGTTCCTTTGAAAGGGTCCTATAAGGGTTACGATAAGACTATTTTGGGGGTTCCTTCTTATAAGTACAGTATAATGGGCCCCATCGCCCTATTCTAACTATTAAGCCCCCTACAGTAGTTGTTGTAGTTGTTGCGGTTGTGGTTGTCGGTGTGGTTTTGGTTGTCGTTGTGGCTGTCATTGTTGTTATCGCCGTCGTCGTCGTCGTCGTTGTTGTTGTTGTCGTTGCTACTGCAACTATTGCAGCTGGTGTTGTCGGTTTGCCTTTCTTCGCTCACTTCGTGTTGCCTGGCGGGAAAAGTTGTGAATGAACACTGTTTTGCATGCTTATATGTGGGTTCGTCGTAAGATGTTATCAATAAGTGTGTGTGTGTGTGTGTTCTGTCATGCCAGGGCATTCGCAATCCTTCAGTTTGTTTTCATTTCAATGAAAGCACAACACGACACTGCGGCTTATCGTCATAGTGATCGCCATTATCTTTTGGTGCTCTAGCCAGTGCTGTTTCCTAACCCCCTAAACCCTACGCCCCAAACCCTGAGCCCTAAAACCTAAACCCCAAGCCCCTAAACCCTGAGCCCCAAAACCTAGACCTCGAAACCCCCAAGCCGTAAACGGCTGTCCCCAGGACCCGGGCCGAGATCGAGAAGCACAAGAAGGCCGGTTTCGGGTAATTGTAACTATTCACAGTTAGGCTTTCGGGTTTAGGGTGTTGGGGTTGAGGTTTAGGGGGTATAGGGCTTAGGGTTTAGGATTATAACTGTAGTGTATACGGTAGTATACCCCCAAACCCTGTTCGAATTGTCAAGGATCCTACTATGAGGGTTTCGGGGTTCAGGGGTGGAGGGCTTTTGGATGCAGGGTTTTAGGGTTTTCGGATTCAGGGTTTGAGGGTGTGGATGGTTGTCAAAATTATGGTCCCTTTTTGGGTACCCTAAATATTAGGTGCCGTACTATATTAGGGACCCAAAAAGGGACCATAATTTTGACAACCACCCGTGTGGGTTTAGGGTTTAGGGCTCAGGGATTTATTTGTGGGGCCGAAGGGTTTCAGGGCTTTAGGTTTCAGTGCTTTGGGATTGCAGGGCTTTGGGGTTCGGGTTTTAAGGTTTTAGGGACTAGATAGACGATGATCATGATGATGATGACCCCCGTGATCTTGGTGACTCTTTTGCTGACGATGATGCTGGTGGTGGTTTTAGACTGGACGGTGAAGACGGGCATGGCGACACGCATTCTTAGCCCAGCAGCCCACAGCCCGAGCCAAAACCTGATTCAAACCCTAAACCCTAAACCCTAAAACCCTGAACCCTAAACCCCTAAACCCCTAGACCCTAAACCCTAAAACCCTGAACCCTAAACCCCTAAACCCCTAGACCCTAAACCCTAAAACCCTGAACCCTAAACCCCTAAACCCCTAAACCCTAAACCCTAAAACCCTAAACCCTAAACCCTAAACCCTAAACCACTCAAGTTCCAATCCGAGGCCCTCAACCCGGAGCTAGAGCACCACCGCCGACAGCTCAAAGCAGTACAAAGGGGTTTAGGCTTAAGCCCAATGCCCGAACCCTAAAACCCTAAAGTCTCAGCCCTATAAGCCCTAAACCCCAAACTTAACCTTAAAACGCTACATCCTAAATCCCAAACCCGGAACTCAACCCAAAACCCGAAGCCCTGAACCCGAAATGCGAAATCCCGAACCCTAAACAAAAACCTAAATCCCAGACTTTCAGTTCTCCACATGCCCGCAGGAGATGGAGGAGGGGAAGCTTGCGTCTCAGAAAGTGTCTGGGGGACCATTCTGCCGCAGATGGTGCGTGTTTGGGTTTCGGGTTTCGAGTTTAGGGTTTGGGTTTAGGGTTTAGGGGTTGGGGGTTTGGGAGGTCAGGTCCGGGTTGCGTGGATAAAGTTGTGGCCTGCAGGGCTTCGGGTTCTTTGGTGTAGGGTTTGAGGTTTAGAGAACAGGAGTCGGGTTTGGGTGGAGGGTTTTTGTGGTGGAGCAGCATCAGCCAACCAAACGATACGTAGGAGATAATGGAATGTCCCCCACGCGCTTCCCCGGTGCCTACCTGTAAGAGTGGGTTCCACGGCTCAATATCCCTTGACGAGCTGAGGGCCAGAAACTATCTTGAAAAGCTTCAACCCTAAGCCCTAAAGCACTAAACCCTGAACCTTACAGCTTCAACCCTAAGCCCTAAACCCCTACACCCTGAACCTTAAAGCTTCAACCCAACCTGAAAGCTTCAACCCTAAGCCCTAAATCACTAAACCCTGAACCTTACAGCTTCAACCCCAAGCCCTAAACCCCTAAACCCCTAAATTTTGAATCTTAAAGCTTCAACCTAAAAAAAGAACCTTAAACCCTGAACCTTCAAGCTTGAACCCTAAGCCCCTGAATCCTAAGCACTCTTTATGAACAAGCCCAGGTCTGCGAAGCGAAAGCAGCGCGAGGCGGCGCCTGCGGCGGCAGAGCCGGCGCCGCAGGTGGAGGTGGGGTGTCCCCAGCTTGAATCTGCGTAATGTAGGAACCTGATTAAGAAACCCGAGGCCTTTATTTCAGGGTTCCTTTAAAGGGGTCTATAGGGTTCCTATAAGGGATCTATAATAAGGCTACTATAATGGTGTAGGAACCTGATTAAGAAACCCTGGGCCTATAACCCCCCAAAGAAAGTAGGGTTCATAGAAGGGACTCCTAATGAAGGCCCAAGGTGTCTGGATCAGGTTCCTACATTAGGCATCGCTTATAGGGGTAGAAAGCTTTTCTAAGTTAGGGTCCGTTTACGTTCAGGGTGTGAGGGCTAGGGTTTCAGGCTTTACAACCCTAAACCCTATAAGCCCTACACCCTAAGCCCTATAAGCATTCCAAAGCCTAAACCCTAAACCCGTGCAGGGTGCACCCTGACTTCAAAATCCTTGACAGTTTACAAACGGAGTTTTGGTGGTTCTTTATAACAAGTATTAAGATCCCTTAAAGGAATCCTTTTCTAATTACTATGATTCCTTTGTTCTAGTTGTTAAGACCCCTCGAAAGCAACCCTATTCTAATCATTACGATCCCTTTAAAGGAACCCTATTATTCTAATTATTAAGACCCCTCTCTTACAGCCACAGCTGGGCTGAGTAAAGGTGCCGGCTCCCGTTGAGCCTCCTGCGGAGGCTCGGGTGGGGCAGTCAGTTTAGGGTTTAGTACGGTTGGGGGTTTAGGGTTCTGGGGGGTTTAGGGTTCAGGGTTGAGTAGGGTTTGGGGTTTAGGGTTTTGAGTTCAGGGTTTAGGGTTCAGGGTTTAGTACGGTTGGGGGTTTAGGGTTCTGGGGGGTTTAGGGTTCAGGGTTTAGGGTTTAGTAAGGTTTGGGGTTTAGGGTTTTGAGTTCAGGGTTTAGGGTTCAGGGTTTAGTACGGTTGGGGGTTTAGGGTTCTGGGGGGTTTAGGGTTCAGGGTTTAGGGTTGGGGGTTTAGGGTTTTGAGTTCAGGGTTCAGGGTTTAGTACGGTTGGGGGTTTAGGGTTCTGGGGGGTTTAGGGTTCAGGGTTGAGTAGGGTTGGGGGTTTAGGGTTTTGAGTTCAGGGTTCAGGGTTTAGTACGGTTGGGGGTTTAGGGTTCTGGGGGGTTTAGGGTTCAGGGTTGAGTAGGGTTGGGGGTTTAGGGTTTTGAGTTCAGGGTTCAGGGTTTAGGGTTTAGTAAGGTTTGGGGTTTAGGGTTTTGGGTTCAGGGTTCAGGGTTTAGGGTTGAGTAGGGTTTTGGGTTTTGGGTTGAGGGGGGCCCTTTTTGCTCCTGTGGTGTTGCATACGGATCTCGGAAGTACGAGTCGAACGTGAGCTGTGTCCCGAAATCTCCAAAGCATCCATCCCAGAGACTCCAATATCCCTGAATTAAGGAATATTCCTTAGATTAGAATAGGATCCCTAATATGATTTAAGGAATATTCCTTAATTAAGGGATATTGGAGTCTCTGGGTTGTGAAATGTTGGGCCTTCGGTTTGGGAGCAGCTGGAGGTTCGGGATTCTGAGTTCGTCGGGCTTCGTGGGAATTTGTACCCTGAGAGCCATACACCCGAAGCTCTAAACCCTAAAAAGCCTCCCAGAGACTCCAATATCCCTTAATTAAGGAATATTCCTTAAATCATATTAGGGATCCTACTACTATTCAAGGTATATTCCTTAAACTATATTAGGGATCCTAGTATATAATTTAAGGTATATTCCTGAATTAAGGGATATTGGAGTCTCTGGGCTGAAGCAGCAAAGTCCGGAACACCTCCACTTCCACTCCCTATAGTCTCCATTGTAGTTCCTTTTTTTGGTGAACCAAAATCTCTATTACAGGATCCCCGCCATAAATCTGGTTAACCAAAAAAGGAACTACAATGGAGACTATAGGTAGTGATTGAAGGGCCTTGAGTTTCGGCCGTTTCATAGAAAGGGCTTCGGGTTCCCAGAGACTCCAATCTCCCGCAATCAAGGAATATTCCTTAATAGGATCCCTAATATAATTTATGGAATATACCTTGAATAATAGTAGGATCCCTAAGATAATTTAAGGAACATTCCTTACATTGTAATAGGATCCTTAATATAATTTAAGGAATATTCCTTGAATTAAGGGATCTTGGAGTCTCTGGGATCAGGCCTTGCGATAAGAGCCCCCATCTGCCCGCGGTTCCTCCAGGCGTCCGAGGCGCCGGCGAAGAAGAGGCCCTCGATTCTCGATCGTTCTTCCGTACCCAGATTAGTGTTTCGGGTTTTAGGGTTTAGGCTTGGGGTTTAGGGTTTAGAGTTTAGAGTTTGGGTTTAGGGTTTAGGGTTTGCAAGTGCTGGAAGCACTCGCACGGTGAGGGTCGACTCAATAGTTCAGCTCGATCAGGGCTCTCTGAGAGTAGATGGGCTATGGCTCACGCGGAAGCTCGGACTTTTCTCTGGCCGCTGACTTGATCTGAAAGCTTCGTTATCAATCAGCTGTTGCACTCGTCACTCGTGAGTGTTCAACAGCACAAGCATGTCATGATGCTTGCATCCCCTCCGATCCCCCAGTAAACATGGACACACACTCGTTTTCTAAGTCCAGTTCGGCTTGCTGCTGCTGCGGCTGCTGCGGCTTGACTTCTGTCTGGGACTGGAGTGGATCCAGGCCTTTTGCTTTTCGGCGCTTGGCCGACAACATGTCTGGATCTTCAACAATCTTCCAAACATTGCCCATGCGGTAAAAGAGCTCCAGTTCCTTAGGACCACCAGCCTTAGTCAGTGGATTACTTAACTGAGCCTCAGAATGGACCCAACGGATCTGGAGCCCTGTGCGTTGCTGGGCTTCCTTCAAGCTCAACAACTCCAGGTTGGAGCGTTTCTCCGCTCCTTTGATACTCAAGACCTCGGTGGCCAGTTTATCGTAGACGTTTCGGGAGTCTGAGATCAGACACCCTACGACCTTAGTGGCACAACCCTCTGGGTCTCGAGCATCAGCGGGACCGTGGATTATTTCACTCCACTGGTAGCGAACATAGAAGACTGTGTCTTCTCCGTTCACCGCTGCCTGAGTCTCTGCTGCGCCTGGGCTCCTACACGTACGATCGATACGGTGGGAGGACCATGAAACTATGCTCACCTTGCCTAACTCACCCTTCAGCAATGACACGGGAGCCAGTCCTATGACCAATCCCTGGGTGCTGCCTCCGTCAGGTCGATTCTGGCTTCCTGCGTCTACCCACCCAAAAACTCCAAGCTCCTCAGTTTCCAAGAACTTGTGTATTCGCAGTTTGTGGTTCTTCCTAATGCGCACGAAATTCAGAAGCTGATTAGCTTTGCTAATGGTTCTCACAGTACTGCTGTTAACCTCGGACAAGAGCAATCCTACCTCGGCCGAAATGTGAGGTGCAACCTGTTGCCCGTGCCAGCTTAGAGCACCCAGGAGTGCGCGCAACTGACTACGCTCCCTCTCCGTCGTTGGGGCGTCCAGAGCCTGCCTCCGCTCACGGCTCAGGGCAATCTCTTTTATTGCGCTCACATAACGTTCTTGGGACAAGGTAAACCCTTCAGCATCCTGTTCTATCTGAACACCACACTGTGTGAAGCATCCGGACTCCCAGTCGCTCCAACGGAACTTCTCTTTTATGCGCCGTATGATGTCCTGCCACTCTCGGTCATCTTCTCGACCTCCGAACAGAAAATCATCTACATGTCCCGAGACCATGCCTCTTAGTTGGTTGTTGGGACGCCACACCCAGGCGCATGCGTCACTCCACAGTCGTTCGAGGCCCAATGACTCCAGGAACTGGGATACCGTTCGATACCACTCCAAGGGCGCATCAACCAGTCCGTAGCATGCTCGACGTACTCGTGTAATGCTTCCTTCTGGCAGTCCCATTGCAGCGCAAATCTCCTTGCAAGGAATACAATAAAGCTTGTCCGGATAAGCCCTGCCTTGCAAGAAAGCTCCTGAAACGTCTCCTTTATAAACCTTCCATCCTTTGTTGGCCGCTGCTTGCAACATAAGTTGTCTCGTCTGCCTCGTCATAACCGGAGCCGTTGTAGCACGATGTTCATATCCCGGGTCTTGATACCCTAATAAGACAGCCCTGGCCTTCGCCTTTGTCGTGCCGTCGTCCTTCAACTTCCACGTCAGGATCCACCGCATGGAAATCGCTTGGTCTCGTGAGGGTTTTAACTCCTCGGGCAAGGCCTCAAAGGCCTCTGCAGCAATGAAGTTCTTGACCTCAATGCCTTTGGCCTGGCGGAACTCCTCCCGTTCTGCCTCCGACAACCTCTTCTCCGAGACCTCAATGGCACGCCTCTTGAGGTTCCCCACAAAGTAGGCCTGAAGATTGTTGCACACGTCCTGAACGCCACGCTTGGACTCCGGCATTGGAATCTCAATCTCGACTGCCTCATGTGATTCCCTCCAGTAGCTGCTCGTCTGTGGCCAACACTCGTCGGCCACCTCGCTCCACCATGCGTGTCCCTTCTGTTCCGAAGGGTGCTGTGTGTAGGCGGCTTGTCCACGTCGTGGTCGACTGCTTTGGCCAGTGCCAAGGTCCGCTGGCTCCGGTGGCTCTTCCATAGGCTCCGGCTCCGCGCGCTTGCCGCGG